GACAGGAGCTCACTGCATCATGCAGCACTCGGGACTTGAACTCCCAATCTTCTTATCTCCGGTCCTCTAGGAGGAACCTGCTACAGCCTATGAAAACTAGGCTGTCGCTGACCTCCCAGAGGGCCTTCTCTGTCGCTGCTCCAAGATTATGGAATGGTCTGCCGGATGAGATCCGTCTTATTACCACTCAACTGCTTTAAAAAAGCAGTAAAGACGGATCTCTTCCGGCAGGCCTTCCCGGAATAATTGCCCGGCCCAAATAAAGACTAGACCTGCTTATCTGTTCCCCTTAGCTGCCACCGTTTGTTTTAGGCCGTTTTGTTGTAGGGCTTTTTTAGGGGTGGGTGGGTTAGGGTATCGGACTGATGGTTGTTTTAAATTCTTGTAGTTTTAACTCTGTTGTACGCCACCCCGGCTGTTTAGCAGAGGGACGGGTTAAAAATAAAAAAAAATATTTTTTTTACTATCTTCCAATCATAAGAACTGGCATCTTAACCACCAAGCCACTGCAACTCATGTACTGTGGGGTACATACACATACATTGAATTCCTTTTACATATTTCCTCTAAAAATAATGCCTGGACCAAATTATGAACACTGAGTACTGAGCCACTGGCACTCAAAGTCTAATCCACAAAAATTATTTGATGTTTGACATCCCTTTTGGGAATATTCAATAGCAGATTCAACACTGCAAATTAACTCATCCAATCAGTCATTGTTACTCATCTGTTGGTGGTGTTTTGAATGTGCAAACTAATACTGAGAAAAATCCCACTACCTACCTATGTTTCCTCCTATTAAACATTGGCAGTATTTCTTTGTAAGTCTACTATGTGGGCTGCTAAACAAATATTTCAACATTCAGCTGGTAACAGCAGTTGCTTTCAATAGGCTACCTCTGAACCTACATCATGATGCTCATGCAGCTATTAGCCAGCCTGTAATTGCCTTCTACTTTAAACCTACTGCTTTCATTTTATTTAAGGAAAACAGCTCATATGTTCTGTATGTAGAAAATCTCAGGTTCAAATCTCCAGCACTTCCAACTAAAGCAAGGAAAAAATTTAAAAAGTTAGAGCTCTTGCCAGTCATCATAGGTAATAGACTTAGATGTAGAAGCAGTGCCATTTGGTGTAATAGTTTTCTGTGTCTGTTCTGTTTAGTTGGTCAACATACAGCTATAAGAAAAACTAATTTGACCTTTCCAGCTTCTGCAGCAACAGACCTGTTGACACAAGAGATAACTGCTGCACAAGTCAGCCATTGACAACAGCAGCCCACATGGTAGACTTACAAAGAAATACTAGCTGTTTGCTAATGTTTAACAGGAGGAAACATTTTCTATCAAGGGATGTGAAGATCTGTGTAAGATACTGAGGACACACACAGCATATCCCAGTAGTATGAGTTGGTTCAAACACATCTGTGAGGTTTGTTCCTTGTTACTACTTACCTGCTGAGATTTATCAGTTTAGCTATAGAAGTGTCAAATCCACAATTATTTTTACGTTCAGCTCTTCTTACAATCTCTTCTTTGAAGGCTGCTTTCTTTGAAGAAACAGTGATAATAGTTTTGTGAAGAGTAGTGGTGACAGCGAAACAGACACAGGTAAATCAACAAGAAGAGCTTAATACCTCTGGTAGGACTGTCAAGGAGCAGTGAGCAAAAATTCAAATTTAGCAAAATTATTTCGGCTGGACGTTGAGGGTAAAGGGAGACAAATACGTTGTTGGACATGATGAAGTCTGCAAGTATGCAAATGAAATTTTATTTGATTGCATTCCAGTTCAAATAAAACCTATTAAGCCAAAAACCAAGGCCAAAACAATGGCTGGTTGCTTTCCCTTTAAGCATGTAAAACTTTAGTTACCTGGATAATTCAGCTAAATGTAATGGCTACTGGAATGTGTGTGCTGCCAGAAAAGGGTACATTTATTAGCATATCATCTATCTATCTATCTATCTATCTATCTATCTATCTATCTATCTATCTATCTATCTCAAGCAGACAACAGCAGATGTCTCCAGAAACCTTTACCAATCATGCAAGAACAGCAAAACAGCAATAAAAATAGATCAGGTAAGCCTGCTACAGCAGCCACGCCATGTTTAAAAAGGATAGGCTGTGTTTGGTCACCCAAAAGAAAATTATATGGGTGGAGACAGGTAAAATAAAATGGCAAATGGCACAGTCTTTGGGGCTGGCACAATCAAGTTTAATATCAAGGAAACAAAATCAATTCCTTCATACAAAACTAATATTCTTACCATGGGTACATTACACAACAGTGTTATAGAAAAAATGGAGTATGTTGGGAGTTAGTGTGGATGACATGAGACATCACCACTTGTTTTGTTGTTGCTGTATGCCTTCAAGTCATTTCTGACTTATGGCAACCCAAAGGTGAACCAGTGTTTTCTTGGCAATGCTCTGACTTGGATGCTGTAGTTAATAGTGCCAGTGGATGTAACCTTGGTACCTGTCCAGTTAATGGATACTTTTCAAACTGTGCAGCCTGATACATGGACAGGATCCTTGGAGAGGTGAAAGCCACCACATGTCTTAGATCCTTGTCCTTCTTGGCTGATTAAACAGGGCAGGGGGAACTGGCTGAGTGGGTGAAGGAGGTAGTCAATGCCTTCCTACAAGGCAAAGTCCCAATGTGCCTAAAAGAGGCAGTTGCAAAATTTTTATTAAAAAATCCATCCCTGAATCCCACTATAATGATTATTATTGACCAGTGTTCAACCTACCATTTTTGGGCAAGGTACTGGTATGTGTGATGGTTTCCCAACTCCAGGGGTTTCTGGAAGAAATGGTTTATCTTGATCCATTTCAATCTGGTTTCAGACCTGGCTATGGAACAGACAGCCTTGGTTGCCTTGGTGGATGACCTATGCAGGGAACTGGACAGGAGGAATGTGTTCCTGTTGGTTCTACTCGATCTCTCAGTGGCTTTTGATACCATCGACCATGGTATCCTTCTTGGCCGCCTCTCTGTGATGGGACTTGGAGGTAATGTTTTACAGTGGCTGTTTCATTTTAAAGTGTTTTATACAGTTTTATCTTTTTAAAATGTATTTTATTTTTTAATAGCTATCTATTTTAATATTGTAATAATTTAATTTCTTTTTAATGCACAACTTTTCTATGTTTTTAATTGTATTGTTCTTTTATTATTATTAAGCCCCCATTCTGGGAAAAGAGCGGGATACAAATATAACGACAAGTGTCTTTAGAGCAGGGGTAGGCAACCTAAGGCCCGGGGGCCGGATGCGGCCCCCCAAGGCCTCTGGACCGGCCCCAGGCCGGTCTTGCTGCCCCCCCATGATGATATTATTGTTGTTATTACTTGTTCTTGGGGTTTTCTTGGCAAAATCTCCACAGGGGTTTTGCCATAGCTTTTCTGGGGCTGAGACAGTGTGCATGCATCCCTGCTTGTTTGTGGGCCTGCCTTCCAATCATTTCCATGATGATAATGATTATTGTTGTTATTACTTGTTCTTGGGGTTTTCTTGGCAAAATCTTCACAGGGGTTTTGCCATGGCTTTTCTGGGGCTGAGAGAGTGTGCATGCATATTTATTTTTTTTGCTTCGGCCCCCCAATTGTCTGAGGGACAACAACCTGGCCCCCAGCTCAAAAAGGTTGCCTACCCCTGCTTTAGAGGTTTGCCATTGCCATCCCCTGAGCGAGTGTGACTTGTCCTAGGTCACCCAGTGGGTTAACATGCCCAAGCTAGGATTTGAACCCTGGTCTCCAGACTTAAAGTCCAATGCTCAAACCACTACACCATACTGGCTCCCATACCTGTAAGCAATACAAGAGAAAGCTGTAAGTTTATTTGAACAGTTAAGTGAACAGGAAGACTAATAATTGTGGCTTCCCATGGATAGTTTCATAGATGAAGCTACCAGTACTGACCAGTCTGGTACTCAACTCAAAGCTATAGTGGAACAAGGGGTATACTCAGTACAAATTAAACAGAGCTCACAACCCACACTTCACTTAAAGAGATTCTCAAAAAATGACCCTGACTCAAATCAAACTGTGAGAACTGTGTTCCAAGCTTTAGATAGATAGGTTATAAAGGGGGGAGGGGGGGAGAGGGAAAGCTATGCAAGGTTTTCCTGAACTGGTTGTTTCATTTCACACATGCATATTGTTAATTATAAATAAAATCTGTTGATATGTTTTGAATTGCTCTTCTTTTTTGTGGCATAAGAACTTACCATGTTCTTTCTATGTTATTTCTGCCTCTGGTACCAACATTTCTGTCAAAAAAAGTATGATTTTCACTTTGTTGTATACTTGGTAATAACTTTACAACTCTGACAAAAAGCAAATTGCTGAACAACCATGAATTATGTAAAGACTTGTTTCCATATATCTACAAGAAACACCTAATAACAGTTTGCTGTCAGTCACATGAGTGATATTTGTTCAATTTTGGACATCCTTGTTAAATGGACTACTTTCCATTAATTCCTGAACTAACATATCAGCAAGACCAGTCTACATCACACCAAAGTTAGAAAATGCCATTCCTCAGCAATCAATATTCTTAAACATATTTTGGGGTAACATATCCATGAATTATGCGGCACATTCTTATGCAACACATGCAGGAACACGGGTTCCAAGTAGTTCACATATCAATACTTCAAGAGTACTTCAACATGTTACAGCAAATTTTCCCTGTACATTTTATTCAAAACTAAAAATAATGTGAGTCCCATTTAGTTTACACCTTTTGTTTAGTAGGAAAACATGGTGCTTATGTCAGAAAACATCGGTCTCTTAACATAGGATATGTTTTCTATCACTGATGAGAGACACGGTAATTCAGCATATGCTTTCAAGTTTACCATTTAAATTTATAGTACAGGGATAAAAAAGAAACTATTTTGGCAAAGATAAATACTAAAATGTATGC